CTAACTCCATGTTTACTTTGACTTTAAAAATTTAGTTTAGGCTAAGCTCACTCAAACAAACTATTTATTTTACTCATAGATGCACCTGCTGTCAGAGCTTTTTAAACTGTATGTAGCACCAGCTACAGGCGGTATATCGTATTGTGTTTCAGCAGCAGGACGGGGACTCCCCCATCCCTGCTGCCAAAACCAAACTGAGTCTGGCTGAGCACTGCTCAGCCATTCACAGGAGGCCTTGTATTTTTATCACTGAATACAAGGCCTCCTCTGATTGGCTGAGGTGGAGAGATAGACAGATGATGTCATAAACCCCACCTCAGTCAATCAGAGGAAGCCTTGTACCAGGGAAGGAGGTTAATGAAGAACTGAGCTAGCAGGGTGGACATGACATGATATGATATGACACCATAACTTAATACTCTTTGATATTCATCCTGAAGAAGTAGAATTGTCCACAAAACACACATTGAGGGATCTTGTGTCTAATACATTTCATGTACATCTGTAAATGTGTATTTATTTTGCAAACATAACAATTTCCTTGTTACTATAGGAGATGTTGTTACGAGCCCTATATTGGGTTCCCTATATTTGAAATATGTTTTATATAAAGCACTTTTTTAAAGTGTTTGTTACCCATTTAAAAAAACATTTTTATTGTACTGAATAAAATTGATTGTGTTTTTTAAACATTTTTTAAATGATGTAGACTACTTGTATACCTTAAAGGGTAACTTCACTTTCGTGGGGAAAAAAATAGCAAATTAAAAAAATAAATATAGCATATACAATTGTGAGACAAGTCATATTGTAATTGAATGTTAATAAAAATTACCTTTCCATTTCAATCTGCAGCGCTGTAATTTTCTGTAAAATGCAATACAATGTGTACAGAACACCCCCAGAGAAACATAATTTCCTGGTTGTGTGATTGGCTCACTGATTTTCCCAGAAGTCTGCACGAAGATAAAAGTCAGATTACAGGCATTCCCTGCAACAAAAATGTAATTTTTGGTGAGATACTCCAAATAGAAATTACAACTAAAGGGATGCAGGCCCTGCAATATTCCTCATTGGAGCCCTGGACACAGACAAACAAGATCACCCAGAGGGGAAGGTTGTTGTTTTTTCAACAAAAGTGGAGTTACCTTTTAAATTAGAATTCCAGCCCAAACCTCACTACCCTTACAAATGTCCCCTCCCCCTCTTAACACTTATGTTGACTAACCTATGTAAAAAAAAAATATGAAAAGATTTACCAATTTACAGCCCTCTTGCATCCAGTCACGTGATCTGACTCCCTTGTGTCAGCAAGCGGTGGCTGCAGGGGAAAGGAGGGAGCGCTGACAACAGATGAGCCATAGAAACATATGAGTGACATATTCACTCCAGGCTTCACCTGTTCTTGTTGAGCGATATCTCCTCTACATGCAGGCACAGCTGGCTAAAAGAGGCGGGGGCCACGTGACAGAACTGAACAGGCTGAAAATAGGTAACTATATGCATATTTTTCTTTTACAAAGGTTAGTCAGCATCGATGTTAGGAGGGGAAGGGTATATATTTTAGGGTAAGCTATGTTTAAGCTGGAATTCCACTTTAAGGGGAGGTTTAGACGTGCGTCTAAGCCCACAGCTCCTCTGAAAAATGAACCATGTTTGGATCGCTTTTCAGGGCTGATTGACAGGCAGTTAGCAGGCAATGCAACACCTTCTCACTGCCTGTTTTAGCACATTTTTGCCCAAAAAAATGCCACAATACATACTCTTGAGGGGAATTTACAGCACTTCCCAAGACTCTTGTATGGGCTGCGTTATGTTGGATAATTTTTGCTGCATACACAAAGCATCATGACCACCCCTGTTGGCTGCATAACATGTAACATACGCCTATCACCCACTAGTAGAGCCCCTTCCCTGTGCCGCTGTTGTGTGCAGCTCTGCCTGAACAGCTGTATCATTCACAGAAAACTGTAAATTAAAAAACTAAAAGTCCCCTCTTTCACTGGGGCAGATGGCTGGCATTTTCAATGAACTGCAGGGATGCTGATGAGCGCCCTCATAGTTCATTCACAAGCCCTGCAGCTTTCAAACTGACAGCCCATACAGAGTTACGGACAGAAGGCTGTAGGGCTTCTCTGTAGGAGCCTGGCATTGTACCTGTTATCCACTGATCATGGGTGCAAGCCTCTGCAGGCTCCTGTGAAAAAAAACTAATAAATGCACATTTTTTTTCCTGCATTTATTATATTTTTAACAAAGGTGAACTTAGCCTTAAACGATAAAATACAAGGCTTCCTGTAAATGGATTAGCCTGATTCTGAAGAATTGATTCTAAAGTTTTGCTTGTAAAATAATGAATACAATTAAAGTAGCACAAACACCAGCTTGTGGGTAAGGAACCCACAAGAAAAGAAGTCCCAAAGAGAACAATCTGTGGCTTTAAATTGTTTATTGAACACTATCAAAAATATCAAAATTCCCTCCACCCTACACAAGAATAAAACACAATGACAACATTGCCATAAAAGGGGCTCCAAGCCTCATAGGCATGAGATGGATACAGCATCATATGAAGCAAAACTGCAAAAATGGTGAAGTACAAAAAAACAAAAGCCCATACAGAAGACACAGGATAATCATATATCCAGCACATACAATCTGGAAAGTAGTGACTGGGGCAGTCCATGAATCTTGAAATATGTATATGAATTGCTGACACATGTAGTCCTGTGTGGATTGTTTTACTGGCAGTCAAACCAGGTTGAATATATGGATGATATCACTGACAGCGGTAGTTAACTGTGTCACTAGTGGACTATACACTAATATCAGCACTAATAAACAGCAGCCACAGATAAGTGATCTATGGGTGAGATGGATAATAAGACGCAGACTATCGCTGATGAAAATGGATAGAGTTAGCAGGTGTGCAGCGCTCGACTGAGCAGTCACAATCCAAGGGCTGAATCCCAATCTGGACACAACCTGGTCTAATAGTATAAACTCAGCACTCTGAGTACAGTGGCTGGTTCCAATAGATCCTGGTCTGCTGTATAGTGCCGCTGGCTTCACACTCCATGCGGAGATGAGTGTAGACGTGACCACAGTAGCAGGTCTGGCAGATGTACTGCACTGGTGAAAGTATGTAAAAAAAAAAAATAGTGAAAATAATTTTTTTTCATTTTTTAATTTTCCGAAAAATTATGACAAAAAAATTACAACTTAAAAAAACTCACCATGCCTCTTATGAAATACGTTGGACTGTCTACTTTGCAAAAAGTGGTCATTTGGGGGATATCTGTACTGTTCTGACATTCTTGGACCTCAAGAAATTAGATTGGCTGTCAGTACTTGAGGATTGATCAATTTTCAGATATATCCCATATCCCATAGTTTGTGAACTCTAGAACTTTCCTACAGACTAAATAATACATCCTAATTTGGGATATTTTCACCTAAGAAATGTAGTAGAATACATCTCAGCCTAAATTTATGAAGAACAATTATTTATTTGAAAACTTTTATAACCGAAACAAAGAAAAAAGTGTTTTTATTTTTCAAAATTTTCGGTCTTTTTTTGTTAATTTAGCAAAAAATAAAAACCCCAGCGTTCATTAAATACCACCAAAATAAAGCTCTAGTTGTGTGAAGAAAATGAAAAAAATTTAGTTTGGGTACAGTGTTGTTTGACTGCGCAATTGTCATTCAAAGTGTGAGAGCGCCGAAACCTGAAAAATGGCCTGGGCAGGAAGGGGGTAAAAGTGCCCGGTATGGAAGCGGTTAATAATGCTACCTAGATGTTCACCTATGCGCACGCTTAGTCTTGCCGATGTATATTTTATTGCAAGGGCATTCAAGCATGTATAGTACTCGTGTTGTCACACAGTTGATAAATAACTTATGTAATAAACCTTTTGTCCATCTGCATCTGTACATCTATCTGTGCGGTCAATGAACCTACAGATGTGACACCATCCACAGGGTTACATGCCCCTGAGTGGGGGTAGGTCCGTGAACCTGTTTTTAACAGATGTTCATCTATATTCTGACTGCACCGAATTGTCCCTAACTTCATGGCTCTTTCAGCAACCATTAGGGGTCTAGTGCCCACAATCCCAGATAACTCTGGAGACTGTGTCAATATATGCCAATGCTTGGCCAAAACAGCCCGTGCCACTTCCCACTGGGTGCCATACCGAGTGATAATACGTACAGGTGGGTTGTCCTGAGAAGGCTTAGCCTCAGTGTATGTGTTTGAGAGTTCCTCTCCTTGTCGTGTCGAGGCCCTCTTACGAGACCATCTGATAGTTTCATGGGAGTATCCCCTCTCTCACGAAAACTCCCATAGAGATCCTCTGCCTCCTGTCTATAATCATCATGTGGATACGCAGGAACTGTCCAGTGGGGATCCCCCGTATCAAGGACTGTAGGTGATGACTGGAGGCCAATAGCAGAGTGTTGGCAGCCGTAAATTTTACAGTATGTTTTAGTTTTCCAACTCTCACCCTCAATGAAAATGAAAATGTCAAGAAATTAAATTTCTCTGTAATCAAAAGTATATGTTAATCTGATGTTCTGATTATTGACACTAAGGTCAGCCATGAAATCATGAAGTTCCTGCTCAGTACCTTCCCAGAGCATAAAAACATCATTGATGTACCTCAGCCATAGGGAAGCATGGCCGAGGTACATCGAGGAGCGATATACAACCTCCTCCTTTCACCATCCAAGATGGAAGCAGGCATACGCTGATGCCCCGCACCCCCATTGAGGTCCCTCGGATCTGGTGGTAATAGGTCCCCAAAAATTTAAAATACCGTATTTTTCACTCCATAAGATGCACTTTTTTCCCCCAAAAAAGGGGGGGAAATGTCAGTGCGTCTTATGGAGCGAATATAAAGCAGCCGGTCCAGTATTTCTGCCGCCACCATGGCAGAATACCGGGCCGGCCGCTCAGCTGTTCTCTGCTGCAGGACCTTACCTGTTCCTCGGTCCAGGGCTCCGCAGTCTTCCTGCGCCGGCTTCTTCCCGTGCCAGCATCTGTGACAGCAGGGTACCCACTGCGCATACGCGAGAAACGCTACACTTTGTGAATGGTCCGGCATCTTCTGTGACACATGACAGGTCCCTGAAGATGCCGGGCCATTCACAAAGTCCAGCGCTTCCCGCGCATGCGCAGTGGGTACCCAACTGTCACAGCCGGGTGCCCGCAGTAAAGAGAGGACAACTCCGCTTAAGTGGGAGTGGGTACCTGTAAAATTCAGGTACCCGCTCCCCCTCCCTCCCTTAAGGTCCGCAGTCTCTGGTCATCCCCTGTACTGTCTGCAGTCTCTGGTCATCTCCTATACTGTCTGCAGTCTCTTAGTCATCCCCTGTACTGTCTGCAGTCTCTGGTCATCTCCTGTACTGTCTGCAGTCTCTTAGTCATCCCCTGTACTGTCTGCTGTCTCTGGTCATCTCCTGCACTGTCTTCAGTCTCTTGATCATCCCCTGTACGGTGTCCGCAGTCTCTGGTCATTCCCTGTACTGTGTCCGCAGTCTCTGGTGATCTCCTGTACTGTGTCCGCAGTCTCTGGTCATCTCCTGTACTGTGTCCGCAGTCTCTGGTCATCTCCTGTACTGTGTCCGCAGTCTCTGGTCATCTCCTGTACTGTGTCCGCAGGCTCTGGTCATCTCCTGTACTGTGTCCGCAGGCTCTGGTCATCTCCTGTACTGTGTCCGCAGGCTCTGGCCACCTCCTGTACTGTGTCCGCAGTCTCTGGTCATCCCCTGTACTGTGTACGCAGGCTCTGGTCATCTGCTGTACTGTGTCCGCAGTCTCTGGCCATCTCCTGTACTGTGTCCGCAGTCTCTGGTCCATCTCCTGTACTGTGTCCGCAGTCTCTGGTCCATCTCCTGTACTGTGTCCGCAGTCTCTGGTCCATCTCCTGTACTGTGTCCGCAGTCTCTGGTCCATCTCCTGTACTGTTTCTGCAGTCTCTGGTCATTTCCTGTACTATGTCTGCAGTCCACTGGTTCAGAATATTTTTTTTCTTGTTTTTCTCCTCTAAAACCTAGGTACGTCTTATGGTCAGGTGCGTGTTATGGAGCGAAAAATACGGTAATTATTATCGAATGCAAAATCCAATAGTTCCAAAAGGAATTCATTTTGTGCTCCCATATTTGAATAACTCACTTGCAAAAAATGGGATACCGCACCAAGCCCCCAATGGTGGGGGATAGAGGTATAGAGGGACTCTACATCTATTCCCACCAATATCGTCCCTGTCTTGGCCAAGACATATCTAGTACCCTGGACATATGATGGGAGTCCCATCACCATCTCTTTAATTAAAGCATCCAAGCACTTCCCGGTGCGTTCAAGGGGTCCCCATATAGCCATTGCAGTGGGCCTTCCTGGTGGGAGTGCTGAGCTTATACTATTGGACCAGGTTGTGACCAGATTGGGATTCAGCCCTTGGATTGTGACTGCTCGGTCGAGCGCTGCACACCTGGTAACTCCATCCATTGTCAGCAGTGAGAGTCTGCATCTTATTATCCATCTCACCCATCGATTACTTATCTGTGGCTGCTGTTTATTAGTGCCGATATTACTGTATAGTTCACTAGTGACAGTTATTTACCGCTGTCAGATATATCATTCATATATTCAACCTGTTTTGATTGCCAGTAAAACAATCCACACATGAATACATGTGTCACTAATTCATATACATATTTCAAGATTCATGGACTGCCCCAGCCACTACCTTCCAGATCATATATGCTGATATATGATTACCCTGTGTCTTCTGTAGGGGCTTTTGTTTTTTTTGTATTTTCATCATTTTTGTATATGATCCATCTCATGTCTATGAGGCTTGGAGCCCTTTTAGCCCCATTCCATGATATGCATATCCCAGTGTGTGTGGCATCTATGTCTGTGTGCCCGGGCGGGTGTTTTTAAGCTATGGCAATGTTGAGATGGTGTTATATTCTTGTGTAGGGTGGAGGGAATTTTGATATTTTTGATTGTGTTCAATAAACAATTTAAACCCACAGATTGTTCTCCTTGGGACTTCTTTTCTTGTGGGCTCCTTACCCACAAGCTGGTGTTTGTGCTATATATCCTATTGGTCCTGAGAACACCACCTTTCACTTTGGCGAGTCAGCTAAATTATCATCACAATATTTTGGCATTGGTTCCCAATTTTATTATTTTTTGTATAAAATTAAAGTATCCTATATAGTACACAAGATCAGTGTTGAGGCGTATTCATACAATAAAAAAACAACAAATCTTGCATAGATATTTGCAACAAGGCATATGTGTTTGTTCATGATGAAATAATTTGGATAAAATGCAAAACATTGGAGACTATTGTTATATTTAAATAATACATAGAAACACAGCATATTGCAAAATCTTAAGGTCAGAGTCATGGTGTATTCATTTAAGAAATGCCCAATAACCAGCAATATGTATGCAAATGAGACCTATGCCACAATGCAGACAATTAGCATAATCACATATTGTAGGTAAAACCTAGTCTCTGGCTACCACTCCATGATACATCTATCCAGTGAAGGACCTTGGGGAACTCCAGGTGACAGAAGTCTAATAACCAGACCAACTGGGGTACCGGTAACCCATAAGGGTCCGTTCACACTGATCAGTTTTTGATGCACTTTTTGTGTTTAAAAAGTGGAACATTGCATGAAAAAATGTACCTCATTAATTCCTATGGAACTCTTCACACCAATGCCCTGCAGGTGTGGTGAGTTTTTAAAAGTCCTGCATGCTGCATTTTTGGTGCATGTTTAAAAAGCTCACGAAAAAAGGCACCTCACCAATGAAATGAATGAAAAATGCATTAAAAATGCATCACAGTTGTGCTTTTGGTGAGTTTTTTTGAGTCACACTGTCCATGTTTCAAAGGTGCATTATTGGAGGCAGGCAACCAGATAACATATAGAAAATGCATATGCAGTGTGAAAGGGCCCTAATAGGTACAGTTTTGGCCCCTTGACCTGAACATAACTAAAGGTTTTAGTTAAAATAGAAGAAAATAGTCATATTAATGCTACACATTTAATCAATGCATTTGCACAGTGACCTGCCCCAACACACTACAGAACATACACATATTGATCAAATATTAAATCAGCGCCTGAGGAATTAAAAAATTATTTTGATAAAAACTACCCCCCTGGGTAGGTGAAGCCTATATAGTGTGATTATCTAGTGCTAAAACAATGTCCACATATTTTTAAAGTCAAATTCCACAACCGCAGGAAACATTCCATGTTGAAATTGCTAAGTCCTTCACTCTATGCATATGTCTCTTCCCAAATATCCAATATGACTCTAATGTTTCTTTCTCACCATGTAAAAAATATATGAACCACATACAGTGTGATATCTTCCAATGTTAATAATTAAATCAAATAATCATGGTCACATGAAATTAATAATAATGTGCCAAACTTATCTACCACATGAAGAAAACTCCAAAGTCCATCACTTCTACCCTTATCCTCAGTCCAAGTACTTCTTGCATCTATCCATATTATCCTTTCATCATTCTTATCTTCTTTCCAGATAAGCTCCTCCCCTAAAAGAAAACACTCACATAGTGTAGTATCATTCTATAAATGGAATCAGTGTTTTTGCATGTATACTCACACTCTATATGTAAATGCAATGACCACAATTGTGTATACCTTCCACCTGGTGCACTACACACTCTTCAACCTTCAGACCATGCACCTTACCAGATTCTCATCAAACACAGTATGTATATACTCCAGGGACCATTGTATCCAATTGGTGCCTTCTAAAACCCCAATCTCTCCATGTGTTCCAGAGCCATGCAGAACCAAACCGAATAAACCATACTGCAGCACAAACTAAAATCAGAGATCTTTATTTGCTAAAATTGAGTGCTTACAATGTAAAAATGAATGCCAGCATGCAAGACCTTATCCAAGATGGCCGCCACTAGCACTGCACTAAGGTTTATTTTGTTTAGTTCCACAAGGCTCTGGAATACATGGAGATGGCGGTTTTAGAAGGCACTGCTTCCAAGAACATATTGGAAGATATCACTCTATAAAAGATTCATATATTTTTTTACATGGTGAGAGAGAGACAATGTTGGAGTCATATTGGATGTTTGGGGAGACACATATGCATGGACTGAAGGGCTTGATCAGCTTCATCATCTGGTGAGAGCATGAGAACATAGCAATTTCAACATGAAATGTTTCCTGTGATTGTGGAATTGAACTTTAAACATTTGTGGACGATATTCACACTAAATTGAACATACATATAACTTTAAAGGACAAGTTCACCTTTTGACAAAAATAATCAATGCACATTTTTTTGCAGGTAAAAAAATGTGCCTTTATTGATTTTTGTTGCAGGAGCCTGTAAAGCATTGCACCAGCGATCAGCAGATCGCTGGAGCCATGTAGGTCTCCTGCAGACCTGTCTGTATATCTGCTTGCGTGTACATCCTGTACGGGCAAGCAGATACACTAACAGGAAGAATCAATGAACAACCACGTTGTGCCACAGGGGATCAGTGGACAGGACTACCTGCTGAGCAAATTGGATTCCACTCTATGTAAAAAGACTTTTAGCTGGCTATAACAAATGTTTGGAGATAATTTTTGCCAAAGGGAATGGTATTCAATGCTGTCTGAAAAGCTGTGTAATGTTTTGCACTAGCTTCATTAAGATTTTGTTTTCCTGATCTTTAAAAATTACATTTGTCTAAAAGAACCCTTTGGTGTCCCAGAAAATCCTGGGCACCCTAATATTGGACCTTGGACCTTTAAGATAGTGATGAATGATGCCCTGACCCTCTCCCACCCTTTCCCATTAGCCCATCACTACAATGGGATGCATCAGTGGCCAATAGGAAGGGGGAAGTCCAACAAAGTGTCAAATCTCGCATACTTCAGTTACTCGCAGGAACTACAGTGCTCACTTTAGGCATATGGTGCATTTAGGGCTGGTTCACACTTGTGCAAATAAAAAATGCAGGTAAAAAACTCATATGGAAGCACTTTTGTTTACCTGTATCTTTATGCACATTTTTGAAACTCATTGCTTTTAGCTGCTTTTTTTCTGTGCGTTTTCTGACTGCTTCCTGCGTCATCATTTCATTTTCACGAAAAAAAAAAGAAATAAATAAAATCATTATTAGCGGACACAAACACAACATAACTTACCAACTTCCTGCTAAATCTAAAAGATAAAACTGTATTGAGTTAATGAACAAAGCTCTGTATGTGAATGAGGTCTTGGGACTCTTTCACATAAGTGCTGTGGCCTGTACAGTCTGAGCCAGATTTTTTTTTATGTGGTTGGAACTGTGTGCAGGCAGCCTATGTTACACTATGGGGATGCTGCAACTGTGTGAAGACAGCCGCAGGTCCTAATTTGACAGGTGTGTGGATACACATCTATGGCCCCAAACACAGACAGTGTGCATTCGGGGCCACTCGCCCCCACACCTGCACAGCCATCAAATTAGGATCTGAGGCTGTACAACAGCCATACAACAGCTGTGTCCCCATATAGTAGAACGTGGCTTCAGCCACACAAAATAAACCGCTCATGCACACCATATGCGCAAGAGAACCCGTCTGAATTACCCTTTAATTTTTTGTATATTGTTTAAATTTTAAATAAGTTAAAATTTCTTTTATTGCAATATTTTTATTTTCTACATTTTTTTCACAATGCTTT